GCGCTGTGAACCCAATCACCTCGGATAGATTTCTGTCCATGGCTAACATCAGTGGTGAATGATATCCAACCCGGTCCCCCCTCCCTCCCTTTCATCAACATGCACTGACGAACGTGGTGATGTATAGTTAAATAACCTCTATGACCAACAGAGCATGGGGCATCATTCATCAAAGTATTGGATTATTTTATTTTCATCATTATGTGCACGCATCTCGAAGACTTTTTGCAGCAGGATTCTCAATCGGTGCCTTTTGGCAATTCAATATGAATGAGTGTTTGGGCATGTAGGAGGAAATCAAGAGAGTACGCAGAGAAAACGCACACGTACAATCGATAACAATCGAGGCAGCTCTGCAGACACATTCTTGGATCGTACGCTGTATTGTCATCTCGAGCCTACAACACCTGGTGTCTGTGGGTGGTGTCCCATCCAACTACTAACCAGGCGCGCGACTGCTTAGCTTTCTGAGTTGTCACGGGATCCGGAACATGCAGGGTTATTTGGTCACAGTCAAATTCGACGATCATCTGAAACGCGGGTTTACATTGCCCAAGTATCACGCCCAAGTGTGAACAGTTTTGAAAATAAAAGTGGCATTGAATACAAGTCAGGAATTAGCCAGCAGTCTTCCCATACGTGATTAAATCCTACCCTCTGCAGCATACATTGGGATTTGTTGACACCTTAAAACTCAAAGATCTGTGTATGATTTGTTGTTCATTATCAACGTCAGGGCCGGATTAAGGTTATGAGTCGCCTAAGACGAAAAGGAGGGAAGGGCCAAAGTATGTATTACATATTGCAAAAAAATGTAGGAAGTAATTAAACATTTGATAATTGGTTCTTTACCCTTCTATCTGGCAACAAAACTGACACCTTTTTGCAAGGAGTCATGTTTGCATAGACCGCAATACCTGCAGTCATAATACAAACAAAAGAACATGCGCCTTTTGGCGTCATCTGGTCCAACCCATATGAGACTAGGCTCGAAGGAAAGCTGTCTCGGGTGTGGACCAATCAACTTCAAGGACAGTGCACATTATCAGAGTTATGTTCTTTTGTTTGTATTATGACTGCAGGTATTGCGGTCTATGCAAACATGACTCCTTGCAAAAAGGTGTCAGTTTTGTTGCCAGATAGAAGGGTAAAGAACCAATTATCATATTTTTACTGGCAAATGAGGTCCCCATAGTGTAGATAATTAAACATTTATTCACCTATTTAAAATTTAAAAATGTATTCGACTCAAGGTAAATTCATTAAACATATTATTAATTTTTCCTCATTTCTTCAAACAAACATTTTTTCCCCTTGTTTTAGCTGTGGCAAAGTTGTAAATTATTTCATCGTAATTCAAGATATACACGTGTCCCATGGTGCATCGTAATTTCTCATCATGTACGGTACTGAAAACTGAAATTATCCGCATGAATACTCACTGCAGTATATTAACAAAAGTAAGCTATCTCGATTTAATGATTGTAGGTATTGCTCGCAATAAATTTTAAATTATGTACACAAAATAAGTTTAAACAATCAAATGTTAAGTCATGGGCGATACAGGTGTTATGCACAGAGCTATGAAAAATAGTTTTGAAAAAGGTTAGTCCGACAAAAATATAAAATATCGTAAAATATTAAAGTTGACAAAATCCCCAACTCTTGTTCAAAGCATTTTTTGGCAATTTTGTTGTTAGAAAATAATGTTGATTTTATTTACTATTTTTTAAATCATAACACTAAAAATAAAAAATGGTTTATAATAGTAATGTTGACTTTTGACATAAATTAATCGAAAATATTAAAATACACAACATAAAAACGTGTATATTGACCTTGCTTTCCACCTGAAGACGGAAGCTTGTGTTGCCTCCGAAACGTCGTGATTTTTATTTTATTTTTATTTTATTTTACTTTTATTAATTTTCATTTTTTACCTACGTGACTTTACCGAAAAACCCTAAGAATAAGTAACTACTATCCTTAACGTGGACATGACGCACAGGGACTTGATGCAACAACAACAATGTTGTTGGTGTAGTCCGAGTGATGACAATCCATAGCAACCGCTGTACGGCGGTGATGCGCACAAATACTGTGCATTGTGCACGAAACATTTTGGTGTGTAGGCAAATGGCTGCCTGGTAGGAGGATTAACAGGGTTTTTTTGGTACTCGGGCTCAGATTATCACAGTGGAAGAGCTGTTGCACAACTGCGGACATGCAAGAAAGCGCGCCCCATATTGTTTGGGTAAAAACTAAAAAAATCCAACGAGGTTTCTATTCAAGATTCCAAAAGCTATTCTACAACACACAATGAGGGTATGCACCGCTGCAAGATATCTGAATGGATACTTTGAATACAAAATACATCAACGGCAGCGTAATCCGAATAACACTGAGAAAATAAATGTGCAAAAAACTGTGGGATATTGACATGGCACAGCGGTAGTGTGTTTGCCACTTGCTGCGGAGATTTGCAGTTAGAATTCAGCAGTTTAACGCGTGGGAGGCTTTCGCGACCAATATTATTCATAATCAACGTTTTTGGGTGAGATCGCGTTATTTATAAATGTGTCGTAACCCTCCACCACCCGACACGGCCAATCAGTAAAAAAATGTGTCACGTTGACAAAAGACAAATAGTTCACTGCTTTAGTGAACTATTTGTCTTTTTAAATCTTTTATATTAAGTTCACTTGCTTGCTTGCGCGCTTACGACCGTGCAAATCTTTCGGTCGTTTTTTAACCCACTTCCCGTGATCCAATCGAGCTGACATTTTGCACACAGACTCGTTGTGCGTGACAATTTATTTTCATTAAAAATTTTCCACTTTTTAGGAATTTTTTTTCTTTCATATTTAACTTAAAATACCAATGTGATAAAAATGAAACTCTTACTTAAGAAAAACAGAAATGAATAATAAAATAAAACCGATGCCACGCATATAAAGGATTTATAGTGAAATACTTTGTTTTTACGGGTTAATTTTTTTTCAGGACGACGTTTCGCTGGTAATTACATCCAGCATCATCGGGCAATTCGCCAGAATGGTGAAGCCCTCCACTTGCTCCCGCTCTTAAATAGAGCAGCAGCAGGGTGACGTCATCGTTTAGCCCAGCAGACCGCCTTAGTTAATACTGCGAGTGTATCAATCAATCAATGCGCGGCCTCTCCTACAGTGGATGCTAGCGATCAGTGGCGGCTCCTGCAAAATCTCTCAAGGGGGGCAAATGTCTGGATGATTGATAAGGATAAGGTCCACCCATGCAATGGATAAATTAACAGCTTAAGCATGTAAAGGCAACTTCACTTCTTTAATATTAATGAAAAATAAAGTGACTCTTACAATACATCTTGTTTGTTTCTATACTCACTATTAATACAATCCACTCAAGTTTCTTTTATTAAAGATTCCACTAGGTGGCGACAAATTATATTGTTGGATGAAACGTGCTTGCGTATGATGACGTAAGCACGTTAGGGCGAGCCCTCCCGGAAGCCATAGAGAATGCATTGGAGCGCCCCCGGTCGAAAAAAAAACATCTTTGAATGTAAGTCTATGGGAACACTCTGGGCGATTCTCAGCCGGAGTGAAATCGCCCAAAAAGAGGCGGTACTCCACAGAACGTGACATGACGCTGATTGGACTATATCCAGAGGCTGAGAGTGACGGCTAGCGTGACTCTGTGGTTGAATGACATTGGTGGTGCGTCGCCCAATCGCCCTAATGAAGAAACCGCCCCTGCTAGCGATCATGTGAAGTCATTTTAAGAAGAGTAGATCACGGTCCACATTTGAACATTTACTCTCAAATTACTTGATCGGGAAACATTGCGATCATTGTGGAAAGAAAAAACAATTGGCAGGACCCTCCTCTTGAACACGTCTCGAGACTTCGTGAGGCTCTTCTCGATAAAAAACAACTTCCAGTTTTACTTTTAATTAGAGTTTGGGGACCGTCCATAAATGACGTCACGCGATTTTGGACGATTTTGACCCCCCCGCCCCCTTCGTCACACGGCGTCACAAAAAGTCTGACCCCCCCCCCCTCAAATATGAGGTCACAAAGCTCTGCCCCCCTCCCTAAAATAAAACAAGCTTCAAATCGCTTTCAACTATTGTCATTGTAGTGCTGATGTTGTAGGAGAAAATATTTATTAAAAAGTATATTTAATTAAGTAGAACGCGTTTTCTATATTTATTGAAAGTTGCGCATTTTGATGTGACGTCACATTTCTCAACCCCCCCCTCGTCACACATCGTCATGAATGTCTGACCCCCCCCCCCCAGTGCGTGACCCCCCCCACCCCTTCCCCCCCCACCCCCCTCCACAGCCCCCTCCCCCGCCTCCCCACCCATCCGCCCCGCCCCACTCGCGCCCCCCCCCTCCCCCGACCCCTCCCCCGCTCATCCCCCCCCCCCCCACGGCTTGGCTGCTCGCAATGCGCATGCGCAGCCCCAGCTCGTCCCTTGCGAGTCAGAACGTCTCGAGACGAAATCGCCGGGTGACGTCACCGCGTTTTCTGACGTCACCGCGTTTTCTGACGTCACCGCGTTTTCCGACGTCACCGCGTTTTTGGACGTCACCGCGTTTTCTGACGTCACCGCGTTTTCTGACGTCACCGCGTTTTCTGACGTCAACGCGTTTTCTGACGTCACCGCGTTTTCCGACGTCAACGCGTTTTGTACGTCACCGCGTTATCTGACGTCACCGCGTTTTCCGACGTCACCGCGTTATCTGACGTCACCGCGTTTGTGCACGTCCCTGCGTTTTCCGACGTCACCGCGTTATCTGACGTCAACGCGTTTTTGTACGTCACCGCGTTAATCGACGTCACCGCGTTTTCGCACGTCACCGCGTTTTATGACGTCACCGCGCTTTGTACGTCACCGCGTTTTCTGACGTCACCGCGTTTTCGTACGTCAGACGTCACCGCGTTTTCCTGACGTCACGCACGCGCGCCAGCATCGCGAGTTTTGATTGGCCAGCTGAGTTCGCTGCGGGCCACAGGCAGCGCTGCTCTCGGGTGGCGCAGGAAGCGCAGGGGACGCGGTGAGGGAGACTCCGTCGCTGCGCTCGCGCACCCCGTGAGTAGCCCCCCCAACCCGTGAGAGCCCCCCCCCGTGAGAGCCCCCCCCCCGTGAGTAGCCCTCCCACACAACCCGTGAGAGCCCCCCCCGTGAGAGCCCCCCCCCGTGAGAGCCCCCCCCAACCCGTGAGAGCCCCCCCGTGAGAGCCCCCCCCCCCCGTGAGAGCCCCCCCGTGAGTAGCCCCCCCCCCAACCCGTGAGAGCCCCCCCCCCGTGAGAACCCCCCCCCCGTGAGTAGCCCCCCCCCCAACCCGTGAGAGCCCCACCCCCGTGAATGCCCCCCCCCTACCCCCGTTAATGCCCCCCACCCAACCCGTGAATGCCCCCCCCCCAACCCGTAAGAGTCCCACCAACCCGTGAATGCCCCCACGCCCCATGAGTCTATATTATTGCCCGTGAGCGACTTGCCCTCCAGAGTTGTCTTCCCACCCGTCTCGCCCCACCGCGTCTACCCCCCTCGTCTACCCCCCCTCGTCTACCCCTCCCCTCGTCTACCCCTCCCCTCGTCTACCCCTCCCCTCGTCTACCCCTCCCCTCGTCTACCCCCCCTCGTCTACCCTCCCCTCGTCCCCCCCCCTCGTCTACCCCTCCTCGTCTACCCCTCCCCTCGTCTACCCCCCCTCGTCCCCCCCCCCTCGTCTACCCCCCCTCGTCCCCCCCCCCTCGTCTACCCCTCCCCTCGTCTACCCCTCCCCTCGTCTACCCCCCCTCGTCTACCCCTCCCCTCGTCCCCCCCCCCTCGTCTACCCCTCCTCGTCTACCCCTCCCCTCGTCTACCCCCCCTCGTCTACCCCTCCCCTCGTCCCCCCCCCCTCGTCTACCCCTCCTCGTCTACCCCTCCCCTCGTCTACCCCCCCTCGTCCCCCCCCCCTCGTCTACCCCCCCTCGTCCCCCCCCCCTCGTCTACCCCCCTCGTCTACCCCTCCCTCGTCTACCCCCCCTCGTCCCCCCCCCCTCGTCTACCCCCCCTCGTCTACCCCCCCTTTCGTCTACCCCCCCTCGTCTACCCCCCCTCGTCTACCCCCCCTCGTCTACCCCCCCCTCGTCTACCCCCCCCTCGTCTACCCCCCCCCTCGTCTACCCCCCCCTCGTCTACCCCCCCCTCGTCTACCCCCCCCCTCGTCTACCCTCCCCTCGTCTACCCCCCCTCGTTCCCCCCCCCCCTCGTCTACCCCCCCTCGTCTACCCCCCCCTCGTCTACCCCCCCCCTCGTCTACCCCCCCCTCGTCTACCCCCCCCTCGTCTACCCCCCCCCTCGTCTACCCCCCCCCCTCGTCTACCCCCCCCTCGTCTACCCCCCCCCCTCGTCTACCCCCCCCCTCGTCTACCCCTCCCCTCGTCTACCCCCCCCTCGTCTACCCCCCCCCTCGTCTACCCCCCCCCTCGTCTACCCCCCCCCTCGTCTACCCCTCCCCTCGTCTACCCCCCCCTCGTCTACCCCCCTCGTCTACCCCCCCCTCGTCTACCCCCCCCCCTCGTCTACCCCCCCCCCCTCGTCTACCCCCCCCTCGTCTACCCCCCCCTCGTCTACCCCCCCCACCGCGTCTACCCCCCCCCCTCTCGTCTACCCCCCACCCCCTCGTCGTCGTCCCCCACCCCCCCGTCTACCCCCCCTCCACCCCCACCCCCCCGTCTACCCCCCCCCCCACCCCCACCCCCCCCGTCTACCCCCCCCCCTCCTCTACCCCCCCCTCGTCGTCCCCCCCCCCCGTCTCCCCCCCCCCGTGTGGTGAGTGTTGGGGCTAGAGGCGCTCCAAGCTCCTCTGTCCTTGGGGCCCGTCGCCTCCCCCCCCCCCCCCACGACTGTCGCGTGGCTGTCTGTGCGGGTACCCGTCTCGCACTCCCACACGCAAATATACACACAGTACAGGTACTGTACACACACACAGTACAGATACTGTACACACAGTACAGATACCGTACACGCACTGTACACACAGTACATGCACTGTATGTACAGTACGTGCACTGTACGCAGAACAGGTACTGTACACAGTACATCTACTGTACACATACACAGCTACTGCGTACAGTACATGTACTGTACACACAGTACAGGTACTGTACACACAGGTACTGTACACGCACAGGTACTGTACACACAGTGCATGTACTGTACACACACCGTGCAGGTACTGTACACACAGTACAATTACTGTACACACAGTACAGATACTGTACACATACACAGCTACTGTACACACACAGCTCCTGTACACACACAGCTATTGTACACACCGTACAGCTACTGTACACAGTACAGCTACTGCACACACAGTACAGGTACTGTGTACATACACAGGTACTGTACACACACAGCACAGGTACTGTACATACACAGGTACTGTACACACAGTACAGACACTGTACACACGCAGTACAGCTACTGCACACACAGTACAGGTACTGTACACATACACATGTACTGTACACACATGTACTGTACACACAGTACAGATACTGTACACACAGTACAGGTACAGTACACACAACACAGGTACTGTACACATACACAGGCCCTGGTTCTCTCTCTCGCATGCATTCTCACCTCTTGGGTACTGCTGTACCCCAACGCTTACACTAAACATATTCAAATATCCGCTCTAGCCTTTAACAGACTGTTGAGGCGAGTGCTGTTAGCGATCATCTATTAGGGTTTTGCCTTAACGGTGCTGATGTTCACGTACTACTGTACTCATTTAAGGCTGAGTCGACCTAGGGGAGGGCCAGGACCCATTCAGACATTCGTTTGTCGATGTTGGCTGAGCGGAAATCTGAGTTGGGTTTGCCGGGTTCAGAGGGCAACGTGCTCCCCATACTCTTAATATCCTACACACTACACACATCCTACACACCACATATGCTACACCAGCGGTCGGGAACCTATGGCTCTTCCAGTGACGGCATATGGCTCCCAGACAATTTTTAGTTGAAAAAAATCAGTTTGGAACTGATTTTAAAATACTTGTGATATTGCTTAATAATACCGTGTCATTTTAAAGTAAACATAAATTAGTTTTGAAGATAAATTTCACGGGTCACGCCTGCATGAAGCTCAACCTCACCACGTATGAACCAGACTACAAGGCCATCAGCAAAACCATGCAGCACCAGAAGTCGCATTAAAAGTAATACCTATTTAATGTATTATACGTTCAAAATACTATATGGCTCTCAATGAAATATATTTAGAAATATTTGGCTTTTATGGCTCTCCCAGTCAAAAAGGTTCCCGACCCCTGTGCTACACACTGCACGTGTATCTTACACACCACATATGCTACACACTGCACGTGTATCTTACACACCACATATGCTACACACTGCACGTGTATCTTACACACCACATATGCTACAGACTACACGTGTATCTTACACACCACATATGCTACACACTGCACGTGTATCTTACACACCACATATGCTACACACTGCACGTGTATCTTACACACCACATATGCTACACACTGCACGTGTATCTTACACACCACATATGCTACACACTGCACGTGTATCTTACACACCACATATGCTACACACTGCACGTGTATCTTACACACCACATATGCTACACACTGCACGTGTATCTTACACACCACATATGCTACACACTACACGTGTATCTTACACACCACATATGCTACACACTGCACGTGTATCTTACACACCACATATGCTACACACTGCACGTGTATCTTACACACCACATATGCTACACACTGCACGTGTATCCTCCACAACACATATGCTACACACTGCACGTGTATCTTACACACCACATATGCTACACACTGCACGTGTATCTTACACACCACATATGCTACACACTGCACGTGTATCTTACACACCACATATGCTACACACTGCACGTGTATCCTACACAACACTGCTTACACTTTCTGGACCACAGGAACCATTTTACAATTTGATGATCAGTACTGTACACTTCATGTGAGCACACAGAGCATTGTGCACTGCATAAGCACGATGTATGAATATGCACGTAAACTACGATATGCATCAATGTTAAATACGTGCACGCACGGAGAAATATCCATGTGTTGGAAAATAATGCAGGAAATCCTCGCCGAACGTGTGAGGGCTACGTTCCCGTGTTGTGCAACACTGTCCGAGTAATAATAACAGACCTTATGTGTTTTAAATAATTATCACCACCTCCCTCTTTGTTTACTTATAGATGCTTTTCCCCTAATGGGTTTGACATAACAAATCAAAGATACGTAATACTGCACGTGTGAATTGAATGAAATATTAAGCCTTAGAATTAAATAAGTGAAATAGTTTTTTCAATGAATGATGATGGTTGAGATGGTGGGGTTATTTTATTTTCGATTCATTTATAATTTAGTAACCTTCCAATAGATGCAGCATTCGCCTCTTTGCTAGCGAGCTAACAACTGCACTTTTACACAACAGTAATCACTTTTCTCTGTATATTCTCACTGCAATCACCACCAACCACCACTTACGCTTAGGGTCCATGATTAAACAGGGAGTCATTAGTGTTGGGGAGGGGGATATGGGAACGAGACATTCATCCTCGACATATACACGACTCTACAGTGCAGGTAGTCCTCTACTTACGATGGAGATGCGTTACGACGACCCCATCATCGTAAGTCAAAAATATCGTAAGTCGAAGATGGCCTAGCCTACCCAGCAGTCTTAAAGAATGGTGATAATTTAGCAAAACAGAGCAATTTACAGTACCGTACTGTATAAACGATATACTGTATGTATTTATTAATTACAATACTGTATTGCACAGTAAAAGGTAAAGAAAAACAAGATTATTTCTTAGCCTAACTATATGAACTGCAATTTAATAGAAAGTTTTTTCAGGAAACAATCCCATCTGCATCACACAAGGCGGGAGATGCGTAGCGTCCCAACGTACAGTATCGTACATCGTACGCTGCTGCGTTTGCCTGCCGCGTGAAATTTAAAATATTTTGCAATTTTGTCGTATCGCCATCG